CATACTGAAAAACTGTGTATGCATGAACAAGTCTGCCAAATGTGGCAAAATTGATTTGGAAATTTACCATTTTACCAAACTGGCAGGCCACGACCTCAATGCATCTCCTCCCATCTATCATAAATACTTGTCAAGACGTACAATTATTGTTTTACTAAATACATGATTACTAGATTTAATACATTCTACCATATAAGATTTCCCTGAGCTTCAAGATCACCACAGATGGGGACTACAGCCAAGAAATTAAAAGACGCTTGCTTCTGGGGAGGAAAGCTATGGCAAATCTAGACAGCATACTAAAAAGCAGACACATCACCCTGCCAACAAAATGTGTATAGTCAAGGCTCTGGTTTTCCCATTTGCCAAAGAAATGGGGCCTTCGAACTATGGTGCTGGAGAAGACGCCAGCGAGTCCTTTGGACTGCAAGGCGATCAAACTGGTCAGTCCTAGAGGAGATCAACCCTGACTGCTTGTTAGAAAGCCAGAACCCGAAGATGAAACTCAAATACTTTGGCCACCTAATGAGAAGGAAGTACTCCCTGGAGAAAAATCTAATGCTGGGAACGATTGAGAGCAAAAGAAGGGAGCGACAGAGAATGAGGTGGCTGAATGGAGTCACTGAAGCAGTCAGTGTGAGCTTAAATGGACTCCAGGGAATGGTAGAAGATAGGAAGGCCTGGAGGAATGTTGTCCATGGGTTTGCGATGGGTCGGACACGACTTCACAACTAACAACAACAAGCCATATAAGATCATAACACATACAAGGTAGGTCAGACTTACTGTTGCAGTTGCCTGTTGTACAGGAAATTACTGGGTTTGACATCACGATGAACAATACCAAAATGATGAATGCGCTTCAAAGCTCTCAAGAGGTTAAACATGTAGTTTCTTACTTCTTCAAATGAGAGAGAATCCAAGATGTCCTATACAAAGGTTGCAATAAGTAAACATGCATTCACTTGCAATCAAACTCTCTTAATTCTTTTAATAAAAAGAATTCAGAACTCACCGAAAATGATTCATGTTCCAGATAAGGCATAACGATTACCACGTGATCATTTTTTCTAAAACAATATTTAACTCCCATGACATTATCTTGTCCTCTACCAAAAGGGGAAAAAAAGTTCCCTCACAAAGAGGGAACATAGTATTGTTAGCATTTTTCCACAGATCTTTTCTGAACAAATACATCATTATTCTTTAAGGAAAATCATTTCAGACTAAAACTTTCCATTGATGACATGCAGAAAACAAGCCTATAAAAATGGCTCATGTCATTTTTCAAAACTACTTTTGTAATTTTAAGGAGATTCACAATCATGAAGTGAGATACAAATTTAAGATACACAATAAAGATGATTTCATATATTCACATCTATGCTTCTATATGTTGAAAATATTTTCAAAGGGCTAGATATAATGCCCTAAAATATATCCAGCAAAAAATGTATGCACATTAAAAAAAAAACAGTGGTGCCATCATTTCAACTCTTTTTGTAACTTTTTATATACATATAGCTGCGATGGCGAACCTGTGGCACACGGAGCCATTTGTTAGGGTACGCAAGACCAAAAAAGATTCACCTCACTGACCTAAAGACATACTTGGTACATGGAATAGTAGAGTTTAGGTTATATTATTTGACATTTTTATTTCTTTAAATAATTTTAGGGCATATTACAACCTCACCACTATTCAGTATTACAATATAGATAGCCTTTGACTAATGACCACAATTGAGCCTAAAAATTCTGTGGCTAAGCAAGGCAGTTATTGAGTTTTGCCCCATTTTATGACCTTTTTGCCATGGTTGTTAAGCAAACTGCTGTGGTTGTTAAGCGAATCTGGCTTCTCTAGTTAACTTTGCTTGTTGGCTGCAAATGGTGACCACATGATCCTGGGACAGTGCAACTTTCATAAATACATGTAAGTTCCCAAGGATCTGAATTCTCATTATGTGACCATGGGGATGCTGAAATGGTCATAAATGTGAAAACTGATCAAGTCACTTTTTCAATGCCATTGTAACTCTGAATGGTCAGTAAACAAAATGAAATAAATGAAATAATATATATAGTACCTATATATTAGTTCATGGTCCATTTATATATACAGGTAGTCTCTGACTTACAACAGTTCATTTAGTGACCATTCAAAGTTACAACAGCACTGAAAAAAGTGACTTATGACCATTTTTCACACCTATGACCATGCAGCATCCCCACAGTCATGTGATTTACATTTGGATGCTTGGCAACTGACTTATCTTGATGACGGTTGCAGTGTCCTGGAATCATGTGATCCCCTTTCTGACAAGCAAAGTCAATGGGGAAGCCAGATGCACTTTTACAACCACGTTAATAATTTAATAACTGCAGTGATTCACTTAACAAATGTGGTGAGAAAAGTCATAAAGTGGGGCAAAACTTCACTTAACAAATTTCTCACTTAAGAATACAAAATTTTGCACTCAATTGTGGTTGTAAGTTGAGGACTGACTGACTAACTGTCTGTGTGTGTGTGTGTGTGTGTGTAGAAGTGAAAACTATTTCTATATAAAAAGCACAGATCAAAATAATTTAAATGCTAAGAAGTCCATTGTGAGTCTTGTGGAAATGTAAGATCTCTGTGTACTTCTGTGTCCATACATACCCTGCTATTATGAGACACTGAAGTTCAGCGGCAATTCGTACAGGATGACTGGTAGGAATCAAGTGTTTCAGAGCCACTTTTTCTTCACGGCCTCCTCGTAGATGGCCTATTGCCAAGTAAACAGAACTAAAAGTTCCTACAAAATAATATAGATATATTTAGCAAAAGTTTAGTAGTTTCCAGTAGGAATTAGTAGTTAATTTTGTTTTTCTATAAATTCTTCCTGTAAACCACCAGACCCCCATCAAAAACCTTTTGGATCCTTGCATAAGAGATTTTAAACTTTGTTTGTTTTTTCTTTTCTTTTTTAAAAAAGCACTGTACAATTCGAAAAATATGAGCCCTGTTATTGTGATACATAGTTCGGATGAACTTGTAAGAAAGAAGGCTATATGTGTTGTACTGGGGATATACACTTGGATTTTTAAAAATAAAAAACAAAGAACAGGCCAAATGTCCAAACATCTTTGTTTTTTGAGATTCTCCAAACATGGATTTATATGTTTTTGAAGTACAGGTACAGGGAATAGATTCTATACAACCCAGAGAAGAGCCTGTTAGATTTTTATTTTGAAGACAAGAGATTTAATCACATTGGCTTTCTGTATCAAAAATAAAGAAAGAGAATACAAGCCAAACGCCACATTTATCAAATTCATCCATACTGCAGGCTCTACTGTCCATTCAGAGATTATTTTGGGGGGGGGGAGGTTGGGGGGGCAAGAATCATTCACCTTAGTTGATTTGTCTTCCCAAAACAAAGGTAGATGACTATTGCAGATACTTTTATAGAACTTCATTCCATGAACCACAGATTGAGAAAAATTGCTGTAAAACAACTGTACTTCTGTAGTGATCTTACAGTTTTGTAAAGTTTAAAGTTCTGGATACACTTTCTGCTCTAATTCAGACATGGCTGGTTATTTATTTAAACAATTTCCATTTTTTAAAAATCTGCTCTGAGTTAAAGTAAAAAGTGTATTGAAAAAATAAGTTACTTGAAATAATAACTTTTCTCTTCTTTTATTTTTTCCTTTGATGACATTTTCTTCCTTCTTTGAAACCTCTTCACCTAATTTGAAGCTGTTTCAGCAACACAGCTATCTGAGCATGTGATACTATTGTAAAACTACTTCCTTGTTCTTCAAAGAGGTTCCTAATCCATCAGAGATAAAAGAAAAAAGGGGTACTACTAAAGAAAATTCTTGGACAACTCCTAAGCAAGCAACTGTACTCAAGCCATATTCCTGAATAATGTCAAAATAACAAGAAACACGAAGTTGGATATCTCCTATGTGTTTAGATAGTCAACCTATGACCACAATAGGGATCAGAATATCCATTGGAAGCAAGGCGGTTGCTAAGTGAGTTGCACGCGATTTTTTTGCCAACCTTTCTTCCCAGGGTTAAACAAATAACTGCAGTTAAGTGAATCACATGATCATCAAGGAAATCCAGGTTTCCCATTGACTCTGCTTATCAAAAACCAGCTGGGAAGGTTGCAAATGGTGACCGTGAGATGCTGCAGCTTTGTAAATACATGCCAGCTGCCAAGTGCCTGAATTTTGATCGTGTGACGAGGGGGATGTTGCAACGGAGGACCAGTTGTAAGTCATTTTTTCCCCAGGGCTGTTATTACTTTGAACAGTCAGTAAACAAATCGTTGTAAGTCAAGGACTACCTGTACTGTTCCAGAACATGGATCAGCCTCACAAAAGCCAGCTACAAACCCGATGATAGCTGGAAGCGGTAAATCTGCTTACTGGGTAGTTCCACTTCAATTGCAGGAGGAACTCATATGGGTACATACTTTTCTTCTCAATAAAGAGAAATTCTTGCATAAAGTCCTCCACTTAAAAGCATAATGAAGCCTGCTTATCATAGTCATAAGTTATTACAGTTGTAAAGCATGTTACCCATGAGGCTGAGCTGATTTTTATGATCTCCTTTTTGTGCCAGTCATTATGTTAATGCCATGGTCATTAAGTAAACCAATGGTTCACTATGGGTCAATTTTGATTAAAACTGGAAGTAAATGCTGATTTTCACCAAGTGTCATAAAACTTGGTCATATGATCACAGGATCTGCAAATAGCTGTAAATCAGGAGTGGGTTCCAGCTGGCACTACTGCCGGTTCGCTCGTGCAATAGAAATTGTTCTGCGCATACGCAGAACTTAAAAACAAGATGGCGGTGGAGACTGGGGAACCAGTTTGGGGGTGTGGCAGGCCTGGGTCACTGCCGGTTCCAGCGATCCAGACTGCCAAACTACTACTGCTTTGGCCGAACTGGTCCTAACTGGTAAGAACCCACCACTTCTGTATATGCAGACTGTCATGCATCGTAAGCGACAGGTCATAAGTCAAGGACTACTTGTATGGAAAACTAGTATCTTGGAACAACCAGTTTATTATTTCTTAGCCTTTTCTATTGGTAGCAGTGGGAATTATGGGGAGTACTCAGTCATGCAGGTTTCCATCTATATAGCCTGAAGAAACATTGCTTGCTATTTACGAATGCTATATCTCAAAGACAAGAGACCCATTGCAATTGCAAACAAAAGTTTAAATCAGTTCCCAGAAGAGGGAAAAAGACAAAGAGAATCTGAACTATGACATAGAGAACAAATGAATTAACTCTCTTTCCTACCTACTGTTCATTTAGGATGCTAAGAGAACCTATCTACCTGGCACGCTAGCAATATGGTAGAGGTGGCTAAGAAGCTTACGGGTGGCGCAACATGGCCAGTAATTCTCCCTGTATTCCAAAGCACTGATTAGTTTTCTTCCGCACTTTTTAATTTTTTTTAATGGACACATTAATTACAAAGTTTCAGATAATCCAGTCTGTAATTTGACACAGCAGGCAAGTAATAACAGTGAAGTCAGAAATAATTTATATAAAAGGGGCTATGGAAAATTTGGATAGATGATCCTCTTAACTTTTGATGTCCAAAAAACTTTGAAGCAAAATCATATTCACCTTCACCAATTTTCCCTTTGATTCTGAACACATTTGCAAGCTGAGGTACTGCTTGATAAAGCTTTTCAATATCTGTAAGTGCTCCTATGGAGAAATTTTTAAAATAAGTCATTTTAGAAACTGAGATCATTCTCCCTTACTTTTATATAAGGTTTGCAACATAATGATTTAATAGTGAAATTTAAAGCATTAAAGCTTTCCTTTAAGTAGAGCTGGGAAACCTGTGGCCCAAAATGCAGTTGCTTAGCATTTCAAAAAACCATAATAAACATTAATCAAAATTGAAAAAATAACAAACTTTTACATAATAAAGTGTAATAGGCCTGATTAAACATCATCTCCAGTTTATAGTAGCAACATGCTAAAAACGGATACTGAAGTATGACTTAACGCCCCAAAAACTTCATTGAGAAATTTTATATGGCCATTTAAAAAAGATAACTCTGTACTGTGAACATTCAATTTACAAAGAGAATTTTAAAAACATGACCAAAGTTAAAAATAATGCAATTCAAAGAAGCCAACAGTGTAATAATTTCACAAAATAGACACATATTGAACTCCACAAATGTCCTGACCTAATGACAGAGAGAGTTGAGCCATGAAGCATAAGAGGATCTGGCAGTTCAACTTTCCCCCCATCACACTAGAACCAATGGATGAAGGAGAATCACTACAAAATCCCTCCCCCCCCCAAAAAAAAGAGGCTGGCCCAGAAAGATACCACGACTGATGGTCTTGAAAGCCATTCAGAGATCAAGGAGGGCCAGGCAGGATGCACCACTCATTTTGAGCCCTACAAAGACAAGTGTAACTAATGCTATTTTGATGCTTTGGCATGCCTGAAATCTGATCGAAAAGTCCCAAACAATCAGTAATTATTATTTTGAAATGAAGACACAGCAATGGACTATAAACCAAAACTTTACAGGAAGCTTGAGGAATTTAAATCCAATTCCGAAAAATTGAAGCTGTAGCTTTTCATGTTTTTATCACTAGATGGCACAGCAATGATATTGTATTTAGTTTCTGGGTATCTGTAAGAGAACACAAGTTGGTAGCTAAACAACTATGAAGCAGGAAGAAGAGGAAGGGAGACTGAATAGCTAAGATGCTGTTTGGAGTCGTAGTTTATGCCTGTTCTGGACTGTTTCATCAGAAGTTTCAACTTGCTATTTCTGCCCTTACTGTCCAGGAAATTTTGTCCTGCCTGGAGTTTCAAAGTAGTAACAACTTCAACATAAACATACAATAGGTTACTTACAAGCTCTTCTACAATTCCAAGTAGTTTCATGTATTGTGGTTATATTTATAAACAGATTCCATGTATGCATTAAGGCAAAGACAAAGAAACATCTCAAGGCTTAGACTGGTGTGTGAACCAGCTTGTTTTTTTAACCCTTGTGGCTTGAATCAGATCAATTATTTATGGAAAGCAAGTTATTAATGTGATAGAGCCGAGGTGGCGCAGTGGTTAAATGCAGCACTGCAGGCTACTTCAGCTGACTGCAGTTCTGCAGTTCGGCTGTTCAAATCTCACCGGCTCA